TTTTCATCCTGATCATTTATGTATACATTTGTCTATATCTATCTCGATTCGTTTTGGCTGTTACAAACAACCGTTATGTGAACAAAGTTATAATACCCTTGTGCACAAGTGCGCTCGGGTATAAAAATATAAATATTTTTAGCATGGTTTCAAGTAATGTTTTTGAAACAACTTCAAGGTTTATTTTTTTATTTAAATCCACAATATAACTGAGGCTAAGACTTTTTTTCGTTAAAGAGAATCAGCATAAAAAATTAAATATTTTTTAACAAAAAAAAAATAAAAAAGTATATATAAAAATATATTTAAACTACAACATACATTAAAAATATAACCATTACTATACACGTGTAGATATGTACATACAATAGATTTGCATTTGCTAATTTACGTCAACTACTCCATGCAAATTTTTATTTCAGTGACGAATATATTTGAACGGGTGTTACAATTTTCATTATTTTTTATTATTTGTTGCAACTACAAAGTTAAGAAGAGATATGCAATTTTAGCTGAAAATTCGTAATAATAATTTTTATTAATTTTTTTTTTAATTTTTATATTTTTATTGTTTCTTAGGAGAAATTGAAAAAGTCTAGAAAAACGAAGTCTGAGGAAGAGTGGTGGTGATCTCCGAAATAGCTGCTATAACTTCTACCGCTTAGACTTTGTTGCTTTTTAATATTTTTTTTTTATTTATTATTATTTTAGACAAAATAATCGTATTTTAATCGGGTGGCTAGTTTAGAAAATGGTAACAAAGGGTTAAGTTTGCTATCAAGCACGACTCCAAGATACTTTGCACTGTGTGATAATGCGGGAGTCTGGCCGCCTTGCGAAGGTATTTTGAATTTTGGTTTTTTTATTTCTGTTCGTAAATAGGATAACTTTTTTCTTGGCTGTGTTCAAATTTAGGCCCCTCCTCGCAGATTTATTTTGTTTTTTCAAATATTTCGCTATGGTTTGAAAGTAATGGGCCTGTAGTTGCTATTAAAACATATCCGCGTATGCCAACACTTTGATTCCCCTTCTATTAATTATTATGAATATGCCGTTAATATAGGTTTATCTAAACATTATCCAAAGTGTATCTTTACAAACTCAAAAACCAACTTTACACATTTACCGCCAAGAGAAAATTCGAAACCAGTGGCAACACAAGGCTCACTACTGCGAGAAAGATTGGTAAACATGTATTTATTTGTACACATACAAGCATAATTTTACATACATGTTTAGATGAGTTGACAGGACCTTTAGTGTATATTTACTACACAGTGCAAGTAAGAAAATATCCATGCGGTGAAAAAAACATAAACAATGAAGCACATAAACAAAATAGAAATGTAAAAAGTACCGCGAAAAAAGCAAAGAAAGAGAGAGGTAGAAGACGTAGTAAAGAGAGCATACTATAGTGGATGCAAAGAGAACATAAAAAAGCAAAATACGGCACAAGGATAATGATGACGATGTGCCAAGCTGTCAAATCAAGTAAGCACTTACTCGCAAATGGCTGTTGGATGTCCGAGTGTGCGGAACGTGTTTAAGCGCAAAGCAATTTCTAAGTGACGGTACGGCAGAAGAAGAAGAAGCAACATAAGCTACATCTATATGGTATATGTATACATATATGCAAAAAAAATTTTATGTGAAAAATTTGAGCAAAAACTTTGTTAAATTAAAGTGAAAAAAATGCAATGGAAATAATAATGTGGAAATTTTGCTAAAATATAATTGTGGTATAAGTAATTTAACAGTATCAAAGTAAAGCTGAAAAATCTGAAGAAAGGTGTATTAGTGCAATTACGCTGCGTTTAAATTTAAAATATATGTTGGTGTGTATATGCCATTGAAATATGTATGTAGATATTTTTTGCATAGTACATACAAAAAGGCACGCGAGGCGTATGAGTAACCTAAACTATTTAACCAACTGAATCACGCGACGTACTATCTACCTACCAACACAGTGAAGAGCATACATAGATGGAATTGCAGAAGAAAAAAGTAGTTGAAAATTAAATGAAATTTAGTGAAATTTGCTTTAAGTTGCATACAATCAACAGCAACAACAAAAACAACTGCAGAAAATCTAAAAAAATACGCCTATTTTAAACTAGCAAATACTCACAAAACAATTTAAATTGAACACACGCACACTCGCATCAGGCGCATACATACAAACATACCTACCTACATAGATCCCCACACAGCTGCATATAAATAGCATCAATTTGAGAGTCACGTAGTTATATGCCAATTGAGTGCCTTATATCCTTTGATAATAATCCTCAAGGTGTTTACTATGCTGGACAGGAGCTATCCGGCGTTGTTGACCTCAGTGTCGATGCAACAAAACGCATTAAAGGTAAGCAACAATGCCTACTAGTATGCCAGTGGGTGAAAGAGAGCAGGGTGATTTATTTTTAGTACAAAGTCTACTTACTTATATACTAAATATGCAAAAATTCTATACAAATGCTTGTAATAGTTAGTTGTTTGCATGGGTTTCCTTTATATGTACATTAGGATGGTGCAAAAGTGCACAGGAAAACCCACTTTTTCGAATTTTCCCGCTGTCACCCCTAGCACTGAAGAAAATCGAACATTAGAAGAGCCCTATTTTTTATGGTTTTTTTAAAAACGTTTAATATTTGAGAGTACCGCTGGAGCTTTGAAGTTTTTTTTATGGCGAAAATATTTTTTTTTTTACATTTTTTAATTGCTCAAAAATCGTCAAAACAAACATTTTTGTTCAAATAAAAATATTACCTTCAGAAATCTTTAAAACATAAAATTATGATTAACATACATATGTATATATACATAGATATTTAAATTTAAAATTCTACTAGCTACTTCTATAATGTGCGAGATATTGAATATGTAAAAATGCTTTGAAAAATTTTAAAGTTAATTGTACATCATAAATTTTATGGAAAAATTATGGAAAATTTCAAAGTCCCGCGCACGGTAGTTCAAAATTAGCATTTTGTGTTAATAATTCACTAGAGCCTTCACTCTTCACTCAATTTAATTCATTTTTTTTTTTTAATGAAAGCAACAAAGAAATGTTACATAATAAAAACCAGTTGTAAATAATTGTAGGGTTCTCCTAAAACGAAAAAAAAAAAATAATAAAAAAAAATATTTAAAATGTTGTAGAAAAACAAATTTTATTTTCTTCGTTTTTATAAAAGATTTGGGTATGCAGTTTCATAGATAGAGATAGAACTGCACACCCAACATTTTTGCTGAAACTCGAAGAATTTGTTCTAAATTTTGGTGAAAATTTTTTTATAACATTTAAAATTTTAAATGGGATTTTTTTTGTAGTTTGGGGAAACCCTAGAATTGTTTTCAATTAGCTTTTATTAAATTAACTCTGCATTTTGCACAAAAAAAAATGTAATACAAACGAACAAAATTTCAAAAATCGGGCGCAACTGGTCTCTGGTGAATTTTATTACCTTATTAGAAAAAAATATTAATCAAATTGAGTGAAAACTGAAGGCTCCAGTGAATTGTGAACACAAAATGCCAATTTTGAACCACTGTGTGACGGCACCGTCAAATATTAATTAATTTCAAAATCAAAAGTACGAGTCTCCCTATTTTCGACATTCTTCAGTTCTGGAGGGTGGCTAGAAAAAACTTAGAACTACCCTAATATTCATACGTAAATGTGCATGTATAGTTGTTATATTTGGCGCTGTAATTCTAGCTTGTCATCATTTAGGAACTTTAACTTACATGCTACAATATAGCATACAAATTTGCGTATGTCAACGCTTTAGCTTACATTTTAATACGCTTTTCTTTTTAAATATTTTATAACTTAATTTTGTACTGTTGCAGCAAGCACCAAATCACCAAGAGGCTGTGTATATTATTAAAAATTCATATCCACTTACGACTATGTAGTTATATTTAGGTACCTTCAAGCATACATACATACAGTGACGAGCAAAACTGTAACATGGTTTAACACTTTTTGTTTCAGCCACCGCTATATTTCCAAGTTCTAACGACTTTCATACTTTTGCTGTATATTCTTGTTGGTACATCCCTACTCCCTCTCTCATAATGATTTGAAGT